CACTGCCTGCTGCACAAGCACAAAGACCCGAGTTCAATCCCCGGTACCAAAAAATAAATAAATAAATAAAGGGCTGGGGATTTAGCTCAGTGGTTTCATTGCCTGCAGCGCAAGCACAAGGACCCAAGTTCCATCCTCGGTACCCAAAAAAAACCACCACCACCACCACCACAGCAAAATAAATAAATAAATAAAAATAAGGGAAAATCACAACCTTTTCACAATTACAAAATGAACACATCAAGGATTTTATTAAATGCATTAATTAATGAGGGAACCAGAAAGATGGGAGACCCAGTTCAAAAGAGAATTCAAACAGCACAAGCAGACACAGGCAGAGAGAAATGCTGGATTAATTTACAAGTAGATGCAAAACTGGTCAATAAGTCGAGGACAATAATCAATTGCATTCCGCCGGACAAAATTAATTTGCATCGCTGTGGCATGAATCATTTGTATTGCTATCCAGATTTTTTTTTTAACCTCCAGAGTTATGAAATGGCTGAAAGACAATGAAAGGCATAGATAACCTAAAGAGCTGGGCTCAACACAACAGTCAACAAGCTTTTTAAAATTTTTTGATTTGTTTTTTGTGTCAACATCTTGACCATTTTTCCTAACAGTACAATGCTGCCACCACCATTCCAGAAAAGAGGTAAAGGGTTGTTTTGTGTGTCCTGAGTCTCAGTTTCTAAATCTGCAAAAAGGGCAGAAGGACCCTTGACCTCGAAGGGACATGGGGCCTAGCTGTGACAACCACAGGGGGCAGCAAGGCATGAGAATGTCCCAAACCTCCATCCTGCCTGTGCCTTTCCATCATTGGTTCCATCACTGGCCTGCTGAAAAAGAGTTCATTTTCCCATTGCTTCGACTTTGATTTAATAATGCCCACGAAATCAGAGGATGATGCGCTGGTTCTGTTTTTTTCTCCAATAATATGAAAATAGACATATAGCCACTGAGATCAGAAAAATAAGTTCATCCTCCTTCCAACTAATCCAGTGCTCTGTGGGAAGCTCTGGTTTTAGAAGATAGTGAGAAGAAATCAAACGATAGGCTATCCACCCGTACATACACACACTTCACACACACACACGCACGCACGCACACACACACTAAACCACTGACTTCCGCTGAAAATCTTTACAATTTGCAAACCCGAAATAAGAGTGAAAGCAGCTGAAACCTGATCGAAGGCAATGCTTCAAGCCGCAGAGCCAAGAGTGAGCGAAGAGGCAGCTCCCCGGGTTCCAGTGGACCCCTTCCCGGCCCCACAGCCCCTGCTGCCTTCCCTCGGATCCCCCTCTCCCCTTGGAGGCCCAGACCTCAGCCCCGTCCTGTCCTGTGATTCATCCTGCAGGAATGTGGGAGTTCTCCAATTGCTCTGGCTAAAGCCTTTTAATTCCCCTCGGTGATGAATGGGCAAGGCCCCAAAGTGAAACGTCCAGGCTCTGGGCCCAGCGCCGTCCTGTCCTCCCTCTCCTCCTCGGTGTAATTATTTCTGTACAGAACATGTCAAGTGCCCTGCTTCCCAGGAACTCGTTTCGCATGCAAACATTTGGTGATTAAGCGAGGCTTACTTAATTAAGCACTTTGTAATGACTCTTAAACCTAAGCACAGTGGATTAGGAGATGCTGCGTGCTGGGATGGGAAAGGAACATTGGACGGGGCGTGGGGGGAGGCACGGTGAGGGCCGCAGCCTGGGCAGAGCGGGCACTGGGGACCCTGCAGTGCTCCCTCCTAGTGGACTGATTTCCAGTACAGGTGTCAAACCCAGAGTGGAAGTGACAGGGCTTGTGGGGCTGGTGGGTGACAGGCTTTGAGCAGGGACGGGGATTGTTATGCAAAGTGGGGAGAACCAAGCTTGGGCTGCTGCCACTGGAAGCAATAATAACAATCATGTCCACCGCCACCACCAATGCCTTCACCATGGCCACCATCCAGCAGCAGGCGTCCTGGCCCTTCATGCCCCAGGGCTCTGCTGAATTCTGCTATTGCCTTGACCTTTAGTAACAGCCTTTTTCTCACTGTCTTTCTAACTTGATGGCTCCTCACTCAAGGCTCACTTTCTCCATCTGAACAATGGGCCCTTTACTTTTCCCATCTGTCTAATGGACCGTTTGAGCTCCAAGACACCATGTGGTCCTTCAGGGTCTTTGGAGACTAGAGAATTGTCTTTGCTTTGGGGGCCACCCAGATGGCAGTGCCACATCAGAGGCTGTGGCTGTCAGGTGCAATTTCACAAAAGATTTTAGAGCTCAGCCCTGCACAGCTCCCAACAAGAGCTGGGAGAACTGCAGCTCTGATCTTTGCATGCTGTGTGACCTATGTCAAGTGCTTGCCCTCTCTGAGTTATCGGCCTCCCACCTCTCAAACAAGGTAAGCCCTCCCTCTGCTTCCAGGGCTTCTGTGAGCAAATCCTACAAGTTCATAGGGACAGAGGCTCTTTCAAAACCACCTGCCCAGTGACGGAAGCCACTGTTTCATAAACTTGAACCTTCAAAATACTGCCAGGTATCTGCGTGCCTGCTGGGTTTCCCTTATTTCTGCTATGGCCCAGGAAGAGTGATCACGTGGTAACCCAGTGGTCACCGTGTGACCCAGGGCTTCTCAGTGATGGCTGTCTAGAGGGCTGGGATCTGCTTTCACTTTCTAAGAGTGGCAGCAGGGAAGGCCTCACCTCCTCAGGTGGTGAGGAGAGCACAGCGGGCCCAGGGGAACGTTCTCTGGCCACGAGGTGGGCAGGAAATGGGCAGCAGAGACTTTTCTCCACCCGATGCCAGCAGTAGCTGTAACAGTTCCTTATTTAATGGTGAGTTGGAAACCCTGGTTCATGCGAAGCAGACACCTTGTGCTCTGCGTGATTAAAATCTGTGGTCAGTCAGATCTGTCTCAACTGAGGCCCACGATTCTGAGCTAACCAGCAAAGCTTGGCCTTTGCCCATGCCCTTTGAACAACAGCCCTCTCTCAAAAGTCAGCCTCTGCTTTGCAGTTATGATCTAGAAAACAGGCCACTGGTACTCTCCTACCCAAAGTCTGTCCTTCCACCCAGAGCACCAGGCCCCTACTGCATTTGAAATACCAGTGTGCTAGCTAAAATATTTCATTCTCTGCCTCTGCCTCCCTTAGACATAGGGTTTCCCAATGCAACATAAGCAGAGGGCACTAGGTTGGATTCCCAAATGGTTTTGGTATACTTGAGAAAGTCTTCCTTATATTTTCTTCTCGCAAGGAGTACAGATGCAAAGCTGGAGCCACTGCAGCTCTATGGTGATCATAAGACACCTTGAACTAGGTGGTCATGTATTAAAGATCTTAGAAAAGATTAGGCATTCCCTGATTACCTTGACACAGGGACAAATAAAAACCTCAATTCACTTAAATCACTGTTCTTGTGTCTCTAATTAGCTGTCATTCCTAAGGGACACAAAGTTTACATGGAGAAGCAGATCTAGGATGTCATCTTTCCATAATAACCTGGCATGGTGTCTTAGATTCAAACAAACAGCACCCTCTGTCACCTCCAATTCATGATGATAATTTAAATGTTATGGGATTGTAGTTCTGTTCTAATTATAAAGAGAAGGGGCTCTCGACACAAAATATGAGGAGTTCATGGGTTGATTTACCTTGGTATAGTTCTAAAGGGAATTTAAAAATTCATGCATTTAGGTAAACATTAGGGGATCTCTTCATTTTCACTCCCTCAGAGGAACCCACGTACTACCTGAGTTTGAGAAAAGCTGGACCAGGGACGCGGACCAGGCTGTGGCCAGGTCTGGGCTCCAGCCCCCTGCTCTATCTGGCGCTGAGCTGGGGAATTCCCATGAGCAGGTGAGAATTGCTCTGAGCTGGGGGGGGCCCAGGGTTTGGCTTGAGGGGAGGGTGGAGAACAAAAGCAGCGCTTTCTTGAGTTTTGAAAGACTTTTCCTCCCACAACAAGCCCCAGCAGCATTTGTCTTCTCCATTTCCTGGCCCTGAGTGAGGCCGGAAGGCTGGCCTGCAATGCGGTTCTGTGAGTTTTGATAGCGTCCCCTGCAAGCACTGGTGCAGGAAAGCTAAGGCGGGAGGGACCCCTGCCTGATGAGATTTCCATCTCGAGCCAGGTAGAGAAAGCTGCAGAGCAAAGCTCTCATCCATCTTGGGCCAGCACTCCTGCTTTGGCTAGGCCTCCCCCGCCTGCCCACGCTGCTGGTGGCCTCACTCTGCTCTTCTGTACATTGGAGCCCAGGCCCAGCAGAAATGTGATGCCGCACCTGTTGTTGGACGCAATACAATTACCTGTGTTCACACAGGAAGTTTCTAAGTCAGATGAGGATGGCAGTGGAGTTAACTCGATACCTCAATTTCTTTTCCTTCCAAAGGAATATTTATTTTAACCTTTGGGCCACAAAGGGCATCTCAGGCTAGAGTTATCAGGGCACATTTAGAGGAACCAGGGCAGACTTGGAGAGGTGGGTGCTTGAACACGGGCCGAGGCTTTCAGGAGCTGGGAGGTAGAAGCCATGAGAAACTGGATCCCCAACAAATCCCTCCAGGGAACTCCAAAGAGAGGGGACTGTGTGTTCTGGAGGAGCTCAGTGGCATGGGGTCCTCCTTGCTGTTCCCTCACCGCCCTTCAACCGCATCCTTGGTGTGATCCAAGATGGCGGGTGGGCTGAGTATGAACGGTGTTTGCGCAAAGTCCTATCTTTTCTGCCTCGGAATCTCTGCTCAAACAGCTACCAGGGACAGTCCTGAGCAAGGAAGCCCAACCTCAGTTTCCTCCTCTGTAAGAGGGAATAACAGCTGAATTTGCCCAGAGGAACATTGGGAAGTTACGTAAGGCCCGCATGCCAAGCTCCATTAGTGTGGTTCTTGGTGGAGAATGTGACATCGTGATCATTGTTATGGTTACCAGGATCCATGTTGTGAGCCATTGTTACAGTTACTAGGTTTCCTGGCATTGAAGTTTGGACCCAATTCTAGAGTTTTCACACTTTACTGTTAAATTGCACCTGATAGTTTCAGCTCATACTGTAATCATCTGGTTTCTGCCTCTGTCACCCTTCCTGAACCTAGCCACCTACCAGCCATTTAGACCTTGGTCATGAGTGCTTTAGGTCTTGCCCCAGTCATCAAAGAAACCAATTAGAAGTTCATGGATGAGGCAGAGCCTGGAGACCTTCTGCTGGAGTGACGATATTTCCACAAAGATGAAGGCATCGGTGATGAAGAAAGGGGTTTGCTGAAAACGAGTTGGCCTCCCATGCCAGGCAAAGGTGGGGCACTTTGGACACCCCAATCCCGGGAGAGGCTCAAGTGAGGCTGACTTTCCTCCTCTCTGTCCTACTGAGCTCTGGGCTGTGTCCTGAGCATTGTGTGCACTTCATCTCACTTAATCCTCCCAGGGAGCTTCCAGATGACTTCTGTTGTTATCCCCATTTTAGGGATAAGAAACTGAGGCTCATGGAACCCAAAGTCACACAGGAAGTGGGGAGGTAGAATCTGAACACAGTTCTGGTAACTGGAAGTTATGTACCTAAGACTCAAAACGCATCTTACTCAGGCTTTTATCTGATGCTGGCTGCCCTCTGGTGCACTTTGGGAGTCCTAGAACTGGGGGCTCGAAGGAAGGCTTCTTGCAGGGCTTCTAGAATCACCTGAAACCACTCCCCAGGGCTGTCTCCCTGTGAGATGGCTGCCTTAGGAAGCACGGTCTGCCCCAGCTGAGAGGCTCCCAGCTTCAATCACAAGCTGCTTATGGGGATGAAATGATGCTCCCCTCCTGGGACCAGATCTGCAATTTGTTTTGGCTGCGTTCAGAGCCAAGCTCAGTGATAAGGAGTGACTCAGAGCATCAGAGAAGGAAGGAGAGGCTTTGAAGGCCAGACTGGAAGTCCTGGCTCCAGCCAGATGTGTCTGTCCAGGACCCTTACCCCTGTCTTTGCTGAAGGGGAGGAACTGAGACAGCCAGTGACCTAATCTAGGGGAACCTTTCACATCAGCCACCAGTGGGTACCTATATAAATTTATTTGCACTCATTTTCCCTCTCTTCTGTTTACTCATTTATTCCACCACTGTTATTGACCCTTACTATGTGCAGGGCACTGAGGTCCTACTCAGGGCAGCAGGGACCAGTGGCTGTGTCCCTGCCCTGGGAATGTGTCTGGGCCATCTGACCAGCCCCAGGTGACTGGCAATTCCAACAAGCAAGGCCTTAGGGAAAGTACCTGTAGCCCTACTGGCAAGGAGCTGTCTAGCATGATTACAGGGTGAATTTTAATGACCTGGGAAAATTCTTATGAGAAAACGTTAAGTGAAAGAGCAGGCAGCAAAATTTCTCATGAAACATAATTCCAATTTTATTATAAAAAATATATATACATGAATAAGGAAAAAGACTGTAAGGAAATACATAAAAGTGTCAACAGTGGTTATTGCTGAGTTGTAGGAATTAAATATTCTTTTTCTTTACCTTAATGCAAGGTTCAGGTTCTCAACCACAAGTAGATATTTATTTCATTTTAGAGGTTTATATACCTTTTAATTATCAAGGTTATTTATGCTCATTGGAAAACTGGAAAGTTCCTAACTCCTTTCTCCAAACCCTATTATTTAGAAGATATGAATCCTTCAGCTCTCAAAGGCAAAGATCATTTTTCTTTCAGTGCAGATTTGGATTCTGCTTGTGATTTTAGTCTGTTTCTTAACTAAAGACATATATACATAGCATTGGCTCTCCCTAGCCACAGATTTTGTATCTGCTAATCTAACCAACTTCAGATCGAAAATACTCAGAAAAAAATATTGCATCTGTGTGTAGTATGGCCAGACCTTTATCTTGTCATTACTCCCTAAACAATATGTTACAACTACAATTTATGTAGCATTTACAGTGCATTTGGCTTTGTAAATGATCTAGAGATGGCTTGAACATACAGAAAGATGTGCTCAGATTGAGTGCAGGTACTATGCCATTTCATACAAAGGATGTAGCATCCACAGGTCTTGGTATCCATAGGGCTCCCCAAATTCATGCTATGTGGAGAACCAGGAATGGTTTAACTTTCCACTAAGAATGCATTTTTGTTATCTTTCCCTAACAGGGCATGTAGGTGAACCTCTGCTCCCACTCACTGCTGAAAGGTATTGTAAATTATGGCGTAAGCATAGTTTACTCCACCAACACCCCCACAGAGGGATCCCTATGCAAATGGCTTGCACACCTGTGCACACATTTTAGAGCACAGAATTCCACAAGCAGGCTTCCTGGTTGGGTCCGTGGGTATGGGATATTTTTAATCTGTCACTCAATTGTTACTAAAATAGTAACTACCAAGCTTGGGTGAGTAGAAAAGCAGTGCTAAAAACTCATAGCAGTACCTCTTGGTCCCACTTTACAGATGGGGAAACTAAGGCTTAGGGCTCCTCTTGAGTGAGTGCCATGGTTAAGTCTAGAAGTGGAGACCCATTCCCATGGGGGCTCTTTTCTGCCCCCTCAAGTCCCTCCCCTATACTCTCCTGGGCGGGAATCTGGAAGCCTCTCCAAGTGCCTCCCTGGCCAACCTGCCTCTGCCCACAGCCCAGTGATTGACTGCACTTCCAATGTGGGGCCTTGTGGGTGGGATTATTGGCCTTTAATTAAATTGAAAAAAAAGGAGACTGAGTTTTATGGGGACCAGGAGGCCACGGAAGGGAGGAAATCAAACGCAGAACCGGCAGGAACGACTCCTGGAGGGGGAGCAGCTGCAGGTGGGAGTGTGGGGCCGCAGCATTTATGGGTCGAAGGAGGGAAAGAAGCTGGAGCTCTGCGTTTAAGGTCAGCGCCTCCCTGTGCACCCTGTTCTCAGTCCCCCGCTCAACCCAAAGAAGCATTCCTGCCGGTGCCCAGCAGCACCAGCCCCCGGCACAGCTGGCTGAGATGTGACAATGCTCTGGGTGGCTCTCGTGTCTTGGGTCTGGTTTCCTCTCCAGGAGCCAGGTCCAAGGAGGGATCATGGGTCACCCCTAAGCATGCCCATGCCCAGAACAGCCCCTCTGAAAGGGCAGGACGGGGAAACTCCCCACAGGACAGGAGCCCATCCCACCGGAATCTGGGGCTCTGGCATCCACACCTGGTCTCTGCCCTCCAACGTCCACCAGCCTCGCTCCGCACTGCGTGTCTGTCCACACCTGTAGAATGAGTGGCTTGAAGGCTAGGCTCAGAAGTTGTAGATTATTTATTTCTGCTTCCCAGGCTGGAGCTCGGTGCCTGGCACCTCCCTGGGCCTCAGGGAACTTTGAATAGATGCCTGTTCATGGAAGATAAATATTCATGGAGCTGAGAACCTGGGTGGCTCTGGGTTGGGAGAGGAGGAAGCAGCCTCTCTATGGAGGTAGCTGCTAGCAGAAGGGGGCTCAGAAGGCACTGTGTGAGAACAGATGAGAGGGACACACTCAGCAGCTACTCAAGGGGAAAGAGCACTCAGTGTCCTGATCAGCAGGAGATGGTGGAAGGAGGGGGGACACGGGGAAGTAGAGGCTGAGTTGGAAGATCCCTGCCTACCAAGCCAGGCCCAGGACTTTGCCTCTGTGGGTTTGGATCTTTACCTGGATCTCACAGCACCACCAGGGACAGGCAGAGTTCTCTTGGGGGAGCACAAAACCTCTGATGAACACAACGTATCTTCTTGGCGTGTTAATTAACTTTTCAAGGTTAATTCTGAACTATAAGATTTTCAGTCTTGTAGGTGGTGAAGCAGGAAGTCTCTGGAGTTACTACCAGAGTTCAAGTCTGACTCCAGCTGTCGGCTATATGACCTTGCTCAACTCACTTTGGCTCTCTGTTGCCTCAGCTGCTGCATGTAGATAATCCCAGAGGAGGCGGTACATAAGTGTTCATGGTACCGGCTGCATAATAGTCTCAGACTGAAAATGTTCTTTCAGCGGGTGAAAGAAGATACTGTGGTATACTCCCACAATAGAATAGTACTCAGCAAGGAAAAGAAAGGGACTGTTGAGTCTTGCAGCCACATAAATGGCTCTCGATGGACTTGAAATGCCAAGTAGAAAGATTGATCTTAAAGGTTCTGTACTAAATGATTCCCTTTATGCAACATTCTGAAAGTGGCAAAATTACAGTGATGGAAGACAGATTAGTGGTTTTCAGGGGTTAGAGATGAAAGGAGATGTGAACTATTATGGGGTAACCCAAAGGGATTTCATTGTGGGGATGGAAAAGTTCTGTATTTTGATGTGGCAAGGGTTGCTCTAATCTAAACTTGTCCTAAAAAGCCATAGAACTATTTTTTCAAAAAGTGCACATACTGAGTGATAAAATCTGTATAAGGTATGTGGCACTGAACCAAAGTCAGTTTCCCAGCTTTGACAATGAGTTTCCCAGCTTTGACATTGTCAGATAATATCATCATTTGGGTGTGCTGGGGGCAGGATACATGAGGACTCTGTGTTATTTTTGCAATTCTTTGTGAGTCTTAAACCATTTCAAACTAAAAAGTTATTTTTAAAATGTGTCCATAACTGACCATGTGGCTGACATTAGATGGTGTGTATAAAGTATCTACACCCAGGAAGTCTTGGGTAGATGTTATAGTTCAGCTCTGGGAGGGGACAAGCTAAGGATAGGATTTGGAGAGCATCCCTGGAGTTAACTGAATTTCCTGATGGAAACTCTCAAGGCTGACAGCGAATTCAGATATAATCTCTCAAGAAAAGAAAAATTGAAAAGAAAGAAGGGGAAAAAGAAAGGAACAGCTCTGGTTTGTACATGAGCTTGCCTTTCTCTGTCAAACGATGCCTTCAAATGCTTTGCAAGTTCCTTGCACAACATCTGTTAATCCTGTGATGTCAAAGCCCGACTCAGTGAGCCTGGGAAATGGCTGCTGTGTTTTACTGACTTCCCTGCAGTTGGCAGTTTCCCTCAGAATCGCCGTGTTAATCAGAAACATGCCGTCCATATTGTCAACACTTTGTTTAACCACTTCTATAAATTCAGCATTAGTGTTGGAGCGATCCTGAGTTGATGGATGAAATCGTCGGCGGTCCTAGACAGCCAAACCCCATAAAACAAAGTCCAGGGCGCTAGACTTGAAGGAGGAGACACTTGACATCCACCGAGGCACGTGATGTGTGAATGACTCACCTCTGGGCTCCAAAGAACAACTGGTCCCAAGAGGAAAGCCTGGCTGCACAGCAGGGAGGAGTGAGACCTGCGTGGCAGGACCCTGCCAAGAGTTCGCAGGGAAGTTTCTGTGCATGGATTCAGGAGATGCCTGGGAGGAAGCCAGGGGACAGAGGAAATGGGGCTGAGAGGGAGCAGGGATGGAATGGCGGGTTTCCATTGACCATACAAAGCTCTTTCTTTTATAGCAAATGGCTTTTATCCACTGGTGGACACCAGTTATGAAACTGGGCGGGATGGATCCCTCTTAAGGTCGATCCTTAAGAGAAGCTGTGGAAGAAGGAGTCTCCATCTGTCTAACAGTCTGTCTGGTGTCTGCCTGGGGCCACGGGCTCCAGCAACCCAAGCCTGAGCTCTGCGCTTGCCTTTGGGCCAAGACACATATTGCTGTGAGTCTTGTTTGGCAGATGTTCCCATTTGCCTACTGCACACCTACTATGTGCCAGGGGCACCACCTTGAACAAGAAGAAGGTGGTTCCTCTTCTCATGAGCCTCAGGGTTAGTGGGGGAGGCAGATGCTGGACAAGGTGTTATGGGATTGTGTTGTGAAATGTGCGCCAAAGAAATGCAGAAAACTAGCAAGATTTAAAAGGGAGAGCCCCGACTGCCTGGGAGGGAGTATTGAGGTGGCACCCAGAGAGTGAAAGGGTGACACAGGTGCAGGCTGGGAGCCAAGAGGTGGGCTCCATGCAGAAGGAAAGGCCCTGAGGATGCAGGGACCCTCCAGGGGTCTGAGAGAAGGATGCTGCCTTTGACACCCAGTGTGGGGTGGAGCTGAGGGACAGGAATGACTGCAACTTCCAAGGCTCTTGGTCTCAGTGGAGAAACTGAGACACGCAGTTGGCCAGCTCATCCAGGCTACACTGGATGGCAATCAGTCCTGAGCCCCAGCCTCACAAAGCTAATCAAGATGGTGGCAGGGCCTGGCCCTCTGTCCTCTGCCACCAGCCCTGCTGCATGTGGGAAGGGGTGGCGGGATGGGGCAACGGGAACATAACCCAGTCTCATCTTCCGGCAGCTTCCTCTTTGGATAGAAGCCAGGGTCCCGGGGTCCCAGTGTGCGGAGAGAGGGAGCAAGAGAGGCAGCCCTTCTCCCCCCGACTGCCCCAGCACCTCCTCCCCAGGCCCATGGGCTCCCCATTCCACATCCTGCCCGCCTCAGCCAACTCTTCCCAAGGGCCTGTTTTTCCAGAAACATGAGTTGAGCAAAACAGGCCCCCTCCCTGAACTTGACTCTGAAATAATAACCCCGAGAAACACACGCTTTCTTGGAGAACCCCCCAGATCCTCCTGATCCTTTGGACACGTCAAAGCTGGGTGTGCTAAAATAATAATCTTTAGGAACTCGGCTTTCTCCACTGCCAAGTGTCTTGCATAAGAGTCTCATGTACCCCCAGGCCCTGACCCAGAGAAATGGGCCATGAGCTAACATGGCCTGGTGTCCAGAGTGAAGTCACTTGGTTTTGTTCTTTTTCCTTCTTGCTTTTTTCCTTTTCTTTCCTTCTTTCTTTTTATTAAGATGCAGATGACTTCCTGAGTGTCCAGAGCTCTGGAGCAGCAGGGTGGTGGTTCCTGGAGATGGGCTGTTCCACATAGGGAAGCAGCTGTTCTGGGGAGGAGCAGAGTGACCAGGCCAGAGGCTCTGGGGAAAGTGAAGCCCATGGGCTTGGGGTCCACTGAGACTCTGGTGTCCAGCAGGAAATGAGGAAATCTCCGGTCCAGCTGTCCAGCCATGACCAGGCAGGGCTGTGAGGCCTCTGTCCACCTTTGGAGCTTTCCCTGGCCATTTTCAGGAAGAAATTCAAGCCTCTTAGCTCGGCTGACAGTGGCAGACCCCAGCTCTGGAATAGGGTGATTCTGGGCTCCACCCTCTGCTCTGGTGCTGAAGAGTGGTGTGATTCCAGCAAAAACTTGCTTCTGTGACCTCAGCTTACTCATCTGTACAATGGACTGTAGTTAAGGTTCCGTACAATGGGGCAAGTAGTGCCAGAACCTGTGGGCCAGGTGTTGAGAGCCCCAGAAAACTCGATGCTGAGGATGCTGGCCATTGCCTTGCTCAGAGCCTACTTGGGATTTCCTCCAAATGGCCTCTGAAGGGTTGGGCTTCTTCTTCTCCTCTTTTTTTTTTTTTCAGTTCTGGAGATGGAATCCAGGGCCTGTGCATGCCAAGCAAATGTACCACTGAGCACACTCAACCCTGAAGCGCATTGAGAAGAGGTGTGCACCTGTGCAAACAGGTCACCTGGGCTCTCCTGTCTGACCTGCGGAGCAGCCCAGCTCCCTCCACTGGAAGCTCTTTATTTTTTCTGCTTCCTGGAGCCCCCTGAAAACTACAAATCTCCCCATTAAGGTACTGGAATGCTCATGGAACATGTTGTTACTCTAAGACTCGACATCATTCAGTCCATAAAGCAATCCTGGAAAGCCAGTGCTACTGATGCCCCCATTATACAGACAAGGAAACTGATTCCAGACAGTTTACTTTGTAGACTAAAGTTATGGTGCCTGGAAATAAAGCAGGTGATAGAGTTCCAGCGGCCCAAGCTAACCACTGACCTTTACTTCCTCCCAACGAGTCCCTACGCAGCTTTTATTCCCACAGCCTGTGTTGGGAGAGGGCTGCTTACTGCCCAGCACAAGCTGGACTCCTCCCAGCTCTGACCATTCCTTGCTGTGTGTCCCTGGGTGAGTTGCTTTCCTTCTCTAAGTCCCTTCTCTCATCTCTAAGCTGGACACAAAAATTATAATTCCCAGTCTCCGGTGGCCAGGTGGGAGGGTGAGAGAGAAGATCCAGGGGCTCTCTGAGTAGCCATCTAGACAGTGACTCTCCCCAGGGGGAGCAGATCCATGGGCCTGAAGGACCCATGCAGTCCCCATCCCTCGGGGCCACCAGCTTGCAGCTCCCGGACGGCCACCCCTCATCCTCCTTGGCACAGGGGGGTCTGAGGGCCTTCTCTGTACAGCCAGGGCAAAGGCTGACATGAGTCTCAGTACCAAGAATTGAGTGTTGTTGGGAGCCCTTTAGACATCAGCCTCAGAGAAAGCATTGTTCTTGGAGTCTAGATCCATGACCCTGGTTTTCAGTCTTGGTTTTAGCATTATTGCTGCTGCTGCTACTGTTGTTATCTTTGCTACTGTAGCAGAAGGATCCTTGAAGAGTAAGTTAACTCTTCCGGAAATGCTGTCACTTGCGGCTCCCACGCTCATGGACCCCCAGTTGGTGACTGCCTGACAGGCCTAGGTTCTCCCAGGAGGCCCTGTGCTCACTCTCTGGCCTCAGCATGGGCCCTGCCCTGCTCCGGGCACCCTAAGTGTCTGCTGTGAACACACCCTGCCAGAGTTTCCTCCTTCCCTGCCACCTGGCACTCCCCTACTTGGGCTTCCTGAGTTCTCCTCCCAAAGATATCATGGCCCCATGTGCTGCTCTCCAGCTCTGCCATGGGAAAACCTCAATTTAGGCAAATGCTGACTGCAGCATAATCTGTCATGGTTACTACAGTTGCCAGGTGACAGGGCCCCATGCTAAGTGCTCTTCCTGGACTGAGTCCTACAGGAAGAGATTGTCATAATTTCCATTTCATAAGCAAAGAGGTGGTGGCCCAGAGAGGCCGAGTAACTTGCCCAAGGTCACACAGAGCTTCTCACTGGCGTTAGAGAGGACTCGTGGGTTAGCCCGGATCCCGCTCCCACGCAGCTCTGGGATTCTCGGGACATGTGTTCTGACCTGCCTCACTGACACAGCGGGAAGTCTCTGCCCCATCAGAAATGGGCAGGATGACACATTTGTTCACAGGGCGATGAGGGGTGGGAAGGGACCCGGCTGGCCAGGAGCTGGCTTGCGCTGCTGCCCCAGCTCAGTGGCCCTGCGTCTCACCCTCTGGGGACACTGCCACTGCTCTCCTTCTCCCTGCGTGTGGCCCAGAAAGCAGCCCAGGACAGGGTGGAGCCCAGCGGGGGAGAGACTGAAGCCTCCTGCCTGAGCTCAGAGCCTTCAGCGTGTGAACTGCGGCAAGTCTCAGCCTTGGTTTCTCCTTCCCCCAGTGAGCGGAACTGAGACGATCTTAATGGTAAATGTCTACTCACAGAGTGAGGAGGCTGTTCAGGGAGGTGACTCCTGCAAAGTTCTGGAAACAGTGCTCCTCCCCCAAAAATGCAGGTCACAGCTTTTGCAGGGGTTCACTTTGCTGAGCAAATACTGTGACACATAGCGCAGGAGCACAGTGATGCTGCCACGTGGAGTGGTACGATGGCAATGAAGCCAGGCAAAGGACATGCCTGGATCAAAGCAGCTGCTCAGTAAATGACGGGTTTTAATATTAGGGCTGACTGCTGGGTGGGGTTGCACACACCTGCAATCCCGGCCCACTGGGAGGCGGATTGCAAGTGCCAGCCCAATTTTGACAACTTAGTGACTTAGCAAGACCTTGTCTCAAAATAAAAAGTAAAAAGGGCTGGAGATGTAGCTCAGGGCTGAGTTCAGTCCCCAAGACTACAGACAAAAAATGGGTTGTTATCCATTCATTAATATTAATGACATAGTTATTATTTACTAATTGGTGTAGTATTTAATAGCTAGCATTCTTAGTCTGACTCTAATAGCACTGACTGCCAGGCTCAATCACTGTGAATGGGCTCCGGCATGTCAGGAAGCTTATGTGCACCTTACCTCACATTGTTGTTTCAACAAGTGCTGGTGCCAGATCAAATACAGGAAGCCCACTACACTTGAACTTCAGAGCAACAAAGAATTTTCAGCATAAATATGTCTCGAATACTGCATGGAACACACTTGTTCTGAAAGTGTTATTCATTGTTTATCTGAACCCCAAATCTCCCTGGGGACTCATGTTCTCACTTGCTAAGCTGGGCACCCAGAAGGGCACCCTGAGAGATGAGAAGACACAGGTGCGAAGAGCTCAGAGGACTCTGGAGGCTGGGGCAGGTGACAGCCAGGGCTCACAGTCCCCAGCCTCGCTCCCTCCTTTGCCTGTGTTGGCTGCAGCACACAGGGGCCCGAGGCTGCTCTGGCACATCAGGATGGGATACAGCCTGTTGGTGTTTTGAGGGGTCTGCCTTCATTTTTGAGGGAGCCTTCCATGTGCACAATGCTATTCCCAGCTCCTGGGCAGATCATCTGCCCCGGGCACTCTCGTTCCCAGCTGCAGCAGACAGAACAGGACCAAATTCATGGCTGGCTGGTGTCAGGTAACCCTGCAGGAAACAAACAAACCAAGTGGAAAGGGGGGATCCACCCATGACTTAATGCTTTCCCGTGTCCAAGTCTTTCACCTCCTGTGAACTGAGCCTGAGGCCTGGCTGGCGGAGGAGCCGGGGTGGGGCCAGAGACTGTCTCCACTCACGGCCGGGGAGACGGCACTCTCCAATCTGGAGCAGTGGACCAGGCACCTGCCGAGGGGAAAGCTCAAGGTCAAGGAGATGGGATTCTGGGCTTCCCTCTCCCTCTCTAGCTGAGGTTGGGTCTCTATTCCTTGCTGCCAGGCCTGGATGCAGCCCTTCCCAGACAGGCTGCCCTCTGGGTTTGGGGCACTGAGCAGCGCAGCAGGGGATCCCGACTTTACAGATTCAGACAGAGAGGCCCAGGGGCCAGGAGCAGGCCTCTCTGAGCTTTGTGCCAGGTCTCTAGACTCCAGAGCACAGCCAGGGTGCTTCTCATGCCACTTGTGCACTGCTGTATTTGACAGGGTAACAGCACCAAGCTGGGCCCTGATCTCATCTGCGGGGCCCTGGGGCAAAAGCCTTTCTCTGAGGTGCTTTTGGACGGTGTTAGAAAAACCACGCTGCGGGGGAAGAATCTCTCTCTCTCTCCCCTTCTTTCTTGTTCCCCCTCTCCTTTCCTTCCCTCCTCCCATCCACCATCAATGCCTGTGAGCATCTGTATGCTATCTGAGCCCCAGGGACTAAGGACATGGAGAGGACAGGTGTGAGTCCCCAGGGACCTCCCAGTGTGGGCTTAGGTGGGGAGAGGGGTCTGAGGGGCCACGGAGGAGGTGTGCCCCACCCCATCCATGCACAGGGCTATAGGCCTTCCCAGAATGGCATTGGGAAAGATGACTAGGATTTTGAGGGTGCAAAGCAAGGGCAGGGACATTTCAGGAGTGACAGAAGCTTGGACAAAGGCCCTGGGCAGTCGGGGAAAGTCTGGGTCATGCACAGGGTTCAGGGTGGCTTGGAATGAAACAGGGGATGAAGAAGGGGCAGGATAGGATTGGTCCTGAAGGGTCATGAATGCCACCAAACTTCTCAGGCTCCATCCAGAGGGCACTGAGCCCCACACATCCCGCTGGCCTCTCTGCAGCATCACCAAGTATCCTCCCTGATCCAAGCATCAGACTGGGGACCCTGAGTGCTCGGGCTCAGGGAGCACTGCCTGCGCTAATGCTAGAGCTCTGGCACACACGCATGTGCACGTGTGCACACACACACACACACACACACACACATAGCTCACACAGGGTGAGACTAAAAAGGAGGAAGCCAGAGCCTTCCTTGCACACGGCAAGGCTGAGGGGAGGGAGTAGCCTAAAGGCATGTATTGTGAGGAGTGAACCCACCAAGCACTGGGCCTGCGCCCCAATACTGAGAGACAGCAGCTCATCTGGGTCCTCGCGGGCTCTGGGGGAGCACGGGCTTCCTCCCCTGCCACTCACGGGGTGCACTGTGGGCACTTACAGGTGCTCACACTGCCCCTGTGAGGTTCCCACCCACTGCCTGGGGAGTGTTTCTAAGCTGCACTCCACAGGTGAAGGAATGGGGTTCAGGGAAGTGAAGTGACCTGCCTGGGGTCACACAGCACATGGGGTTTAGCAGGGTTTAGAAGCCAGGCTTGTGTTGCTCCAGCAACACCTGAGGCATAGAGCGTCTTGATTCAGGAACTTGGAGATGCACTTTACCTTGGCAACCTGAGGCTGTGGGAGGTGGTGAGGGGCTGTTTAATAAGAATATTTAACTCATTCTGCTAGAGGGACTCAGACAGGAATTTCCTCTCTCCCACAAGGAAGGACTCCAGCTCCCTGTGGGCCCCTGGACTCACAGCCAGCATTCAGCCCCCGGGACCTGCCCAGTGTGTTCACAGTAGCCAAGGGCTGCCTGGTTACCAGCAAAATGTCAGAGATGACCCTCAGCTGCAAGGATTGTGGGGCTGCTGGAGGGGGAAACCTGGGTGACAGGAATCCCAAAGAAACCCTGCATGTGGGCACACAGCGCACATACACACATGGACGGACATACCTACACACAGTCACAGCACACATTCACATGGGGCTCATGCAGGCAGATTAGCAGCCTTGTCCCCATTTCCCAGAAGAGGAAATTGAGGCTCTGAACAGTTGGTAATTTAGGTAATGGACCTGGAATCAGGTCCATGATTCAGCACTGTGTTTACCCTGCTACAGCCCCATCACATCAGTCTCCAGAGAACAGGGATGTTGTCCTCACCTGGGGTCTCCTGGAATGAGCTCCTCACCTGATCCCAGAAGTGACTTGCATGACTTGCACACAGGTAAAGACCAGGTCTGTCTCCTTCATTTCCTAATCACAGAGCTTAGAACAGCATCTGGCATGGAACAGTAACACTTGTAGTCATTTGGGAGTTTGAACTGAATTGAAAGTGTAGTGAATTAGTGACTGAATTAGTGAATAAAAGTATACATGATTAAGTGAATAGATCTGTTAGTTAACATAAGGGCATCGGATGCTTGGATGAAATGAAAAGTATATGGATGGGTAACAAATGAATGCAGGGTGGGTGGGTAACTGGATGGATGGTTGGATGCAGAGATGATGAATGGATGGATAGATGGAAAGATAGTGTAAGATGAATTGATGGACAAATGGATTGAAGGAAAAACTGATAGATGGAAAGATGGGCTGAACCAATAGGAAGAAGAAAAATAAAAAGAGGGAAAGAAGAAAGAATGAATGGATACATGGACAGATGTGTAGATAAGATATATGGATGGATGGATGGATGGGTAGTGAATATGTGGATGGATGAGTGGATCAATGGGTGGATGGATGCATGGATAGATGTGTAGTTGGATGGATGGCAGGATAAGTAGGTGGATCTGTGGATGGCTGTGTGGGTGGATGGATTAACAACTATAAACATAAAGGATGGAAAATGAATTAATGTAGATATAAAGAGGTAAGTAATAATAGATAGAGACGTAACAATAGCTGGCTGCGTGGTGGGGTGGAGAAATGTGTAAGCAGGTGGTGGTCTCTGTGGGGTGAGTGACCAGGAGGGCCTAGTCTGCAGGGACAGAGCTGCCCGGTTCCCTGCACCATCTCCCACCCCCAACAGAACCCTGCAGCTGGGCTATTTTTGTCCCCGCTGTGGAAGGAGTTATTTTTTGGATGCAGCTTGTTAGAGGAGAAAGCACACAGAGCCCCTCCTCCCTGAGGTGCCCCTTTAGCTTCACAAACCCAGTCTCTGTCAGGCAGCCAGGAACGAACCCAAGCAGAAGCCACAGAATGCACAAGAAACCAAATACAGAAAGACAGCAAGGGGAGCTGGGCCAGCTTTCCTGCTTTCTTGAGGAGACCAAGAGCCTCTGGAGAGGGTCCCAGACTGAGCCTGGAGGTACCTGGTAAGCCCCGCGAACCCAGCGTGGGGACACAGGGTCAGGCCTACAGACATGGCCACTGGCCTCTCCAACATACCACCTAGATGGAGGGAGCCAAAAGTCAGTAGACAAAAACAGTACGGGTCCAGATGAAGGAGGAGAGGCTGTGTGATTTATCCACTTCCCTGCAAGGAACTGCTTGACCCGGTAGCACTGTTCCTCGCTCTGGCTGAGGGTCTCCCAGGAGGGTGCAGGCAAAGGAACAGCCAGGGCTGCTGTCTCACCCGGAGGCCTGGCCCCAGGGAGCTCACAGACACACCCGGCAAGTCAGTCCCTGTCCACGTGCCCATCCTTGGGACACGGTGGGACTTCTCCCAGGTGAGAGATCCAAGAGGACCAAGAGAGAAGTGTCAGTATCACTAAGACCCTGTCTTGGAGATCCCACCCACACTGTTCCTCCTGCCACAACCTATTCCTCAGGAGCAAGTCCAGACATCCCACAGGCGCAGGCCATGAAGAGAACACGGTCACAGAACGTGAGGACTTTTTAAAACCACAGCGAGTGCCTGCAGCACGACATGGCAAGGGGACAGTGTCCAAGCCTAGAGGGAGAGGACAAAGCCCTGGGGTAGGTGAGCTGGTGAACTCCGGGATGAGGAGGCGGGCGAGAGCCTGGAGCTGAGGCTGGAGGAGGCAGCAGGCCCTGCAGACCCAGGCACACAGTGTGGATTCTAACTCACCAGAGATTCATGGGGCGCTTGCCTGAGCCACTTCGGACTCCCGAAACCCTTGTGTGGGAGGTCCTAGGGGTGTGTTCTCTCCGTGGGAAGACAGACACTGAGGTCAAGAGAGATAAGGAACGTCACATTGCTCCTATGAGTCTAGAGCTCAGATCTGCGCCAGGCAATCGGGTGCAAAGGAGACAACAGTCCTCATATCCCCAGAGGCAAGGTTGCATCGAACAGATGGAGAGATTGGGGTGCCACTGAAGACAAAAAGGCAAAGAGGGAGAGCTGCAGAGCCAGAGTGGGAGAGAGAAATGGGGCGCATCCAGAGAGGAACTGAGGGGTGCAACCACCGAGGAAGGTGGCCTGGAAGAGGGAAGAGAGTTGGGAAAGAGAAATCTTGAAGCAGACAGACACAAGGAGAGAGAAAATGAAGCAGGAGCCAGAGACTGGACGCTGAGAGGTAGAGGACAGGGGAGGCCCATGGTGCACACCAGGGAGGTGCTGGGGCCCTGGTCATGGCCCGACCGTCCACCACCCACCCGTCTCCGTCTCCCAACAGCAGGAACGCTGTGTGGGAGGGCGAGAAGTCGGGCAGGAGGCCGTGGGATTCCAGAAATTCCACAGGCAGGGACAGCCAAGGCTTGCCAGGAAGTCAGGGCGGGTGGCCGGAAGGAGGGCGTGTCCAGGGAGAGTGCAGCCAATAGCTTCCCAAGCTCCTCCTCCAACCTCAGCTCCCCGATTTGGGTGGGCAGGGTGGTCCTGCACACAGGGCTAGAGCCCAGAGTTCCAGAGAGCAGCCTGTGCCCTTCACAGGGACGTGCGCCTCCAACAGTTCTCATGGGAGCACATCCTGGCTGGGGACCACGGGGTGACAGGAAGTGGCTTTGGACGTGGCAGCCCACCCTGCACCCAGAGCAGCGGGAGGCTGAGGGACGTTTCCCGACACCTACAGCGCATAACACAAAGGTCCATGGTCTCTCGGCTCAGAGAGTGTCGGTCCCCAGCTCAACATGTCACATGCACCCATCTCTTTGCGCCCCCTGACCCTCAGCCCCCACAGTAAAAGTACTCGGGCCAGGGACTCGGCAGTGCAGTCACCAACCCATGGTGGTCACACAGCTGGAAAGTGGCAGTGAGCTTTCAACCAGCCTTGAGCTCCCAAGCAAATCTGCTCGGTGGGTCTTCACGGAGCCCCTTAAATTCCAGAGATGGAGGCGCCAATACCACCCTTCCTTAGATGTTAGGGATTTGGTGGGTAGTTTTGGTTTTCAGTTGTTCGAGACAGGGTTTCACTGTACAGTCCAGGCTGGCCTTGAACTTGGACTTCCTGCCTCAGCCTCCTATGTGCTGGGACAAATGTTAGATTATACAAAGAGCAAGCTCACAAAAGAGTTATAAGAACAGGCATGTTCATCCCTCGCTTAGACTCACAATCGTTCTTACGTTAGTTGTCACATTTGCTTTTTCTTTCTTCCCTGTCCCTCCTTCCACTTCCTCCTTCCCTTTCCCCTCCTTCCATCTTTGTTTTTTCCTCTACTTTCTTCCCTCTCCTTTCCCTCCTTCTCCTCCTCCCTGCCTCTGCTCTGCCTCTGTCTTCTTCTTTCCCCTTCTTCTCTTCCACTCCTTCCCTTTGTCCCTCTTTCCATTTAAAAGAAAATCACAGATATTAATATATATTGCCAAAAACTTGGGCTTTTTCTCATAATCACACCATTGTGATCATACCCAAGAAATTTACCACTGATGTAATAATGTTATCTCTTTTTGACACAAGGTCTCACTATGTGCCCCAGGCTAGCCTGGAATTTGCTATATACCCCAGGATATCCATGAACTCATAATCTTCCTGCCTTGGCCTCCTGAGGGCTGGGTCTGTAGGCATGAAATATAACCTAATGTAGAGTAGGCTTTCAACTGTCCCCAACCATCCCCAACACATCCTTTCAGGCTTTATCCATTTGCTAAGCCACGGGTCCGGCCCAGGTATGCCCACTGCAGGTGTGCTTGTGTCTTTCTCCTCTGCATTCATCCAGAACATTCCTCCCCTCTCCTTGTCCTTTGTGATGAACATTGACATTTCTGAGGAGGTCTGACTGGTTGTATTTTGAATGCCCCAAGAACTGCGTTTGTTCAGCTGTGTCTTCAGATCAGATTCAAGGTAATTCCATGGCCAGTTGTGTCATGGATGCTTAAAGTGGGACCCTCCAGGTCTTCCCGTGTTAAAGAGCCCTTTGCCCTGTGTGAGGAATACGCAAACTGCAGGGTGACTCTTGGGAAGGGTACAAATATCCCTTTCTCTGGCAAACTTCCCACCAGGAGTTTTGGAATCCATTAGTGATCCTTGGGAGGTCAAATGTGACGGTTGCAGCACGGAGGTTTAAAAAATGTATCAGTCTTCTTTCATATTTAGGAGTTGACCTTCTTTGGTAAAGAAATGTCTCCAACTGCTCCCTGTCCCCTGGTTCATTTCACGTTATCCACTTGCATTTTCACAGTGCTCAAATTGCCCCAGATTTGGCCTGTGGGCGCTTGCAGTCTTGTGCCGTCTTTGTGCTTTAGGACTTCCTTGCCTTCTGACACAATAGAATGTCCCCAGCTCACCCCGTGATTTCCTTGTCCCAACCCTGGAATCAGCCACTTCTCCAAAGCATTCTGGTTCCTTCCAGTGGGCAGTGCCATATAAGGGCCATGATACGCATTCTACATGTGCAAATTACTGTCATGGCATCACTGTTTCCAGATCTCCCAGAGAACAGAAGATGCATTCCTCCTGGCTTCTCCAGTTCAAGGTCAACATCTCAGGGTTCTTCCTGTATCTCCTCTTCCTTACTCCGATCTTCTGATCTGGCTGGGAGAGCTCCTTTTCCCCAAATATCAGTACATTTGCTCAATAAGACTCAGAATTCCACTGCCTCCACCACCCATGGCAACCTATTTACTAAGGTTCAAGGCTTGTATGAAGTTCTTGTTGCCCTTAGAGTATAGCCTGTTATGTAGACACGTTGGTCCAAGGTCACTTACACTAATTCCCTTTTGCCAGGATTATTATTGTACTCCCTATTGTTTAGCAAATGACCCTAAAATTTAGTGCCTTACAAAGGCGGCACTTAGCTCATTGATTCTGTGGATCCAGTTGACTTACTAGGTGCTCCACCTCAAGGTCTCTCCCAGGATTCAGTCAAGGTGTCACAGAGGGTGGGCTTGGGGTCTGCTTCTGGGATCGCTCATGTGGCTGTTGGCAGGACTCAGTTCCTGCAGGGCTGCTGGACTGTAGGGATCAGTTCCTCAGTTGTGGTCCCGATGTGGTTCCCTGCCACATGTCCTTGTCCACTGAGGCAAGCTCATGAGAAGAGCTAGGAGGAGAGACTGGCAGCAAGATGGAGTCACTGTCTTCTGTGCCTTTTCTCAGGAGTGATGCCCATCGCTTTTGCCATGTTCTGTGCAGTAAAAGCCAACCACTAGGTCCAGCCCATGTTCCAGGGCAGAGGCTGACGTGAACCTCAGTACCAAGAGTTGAGCATCGTTGGGAGCCCCTTTAGATGTCTGTCCACCTGAGTTACTAATTTGATATATCGTTAGGTTCTTTTCTTTCTCTTTGCATTCCCTTTTAGGATTTGTTCTCTTCAACATCTTTAGTTGAATTTTATCTTTGAATGTGTAAAATATTTATATATTTTGAGAACATAAATTCTATGAAAAGAAGTCTGAAGAGAAGTCTAATTCCTATCCACATTCTTTCCCTAGTATTCCTGTGCATCTCTGATATTCACTTCTAGCCCTAAGTGAACTCTACCTCTTTTTCCTTTTCTATGTGTATATTCTTGTATTTTTCTTATTTCCTCATAATTCTTGGATGAAAGAGAACACACAATAGATATTTTTGCTCTTTGCTTTTCCATTTTTAATTCATATTATAAATCATTTCACTTCTGCTCACAGAAATTATCCTTATTTTTAATCACTGCATAGGACTTTCTTATGTGAAAGAGCCATAGTGCTTTCAATCAGTCTCCTCTGAGAAGGCACTTAGGTTGCTCCTAATACTTTGCTATCACAAATAACACTGGAATGAATAACTAGATGCATTTGTAGTTCTTGACTTGTCAAAGTTTTCTTTGGGCAAATCCCAAAAGGTGGATTGAAGAGCTAACAGTTCAGTGTATGTGTTGTATCATTCAATATTGTCAGTACCTCTCTCTGCATCCCCACCAACAGTGTATGAGTCTGTTTCCCCAGGTCCCAATAGAATGTGTTATTAAGCTTTTGAATTTTTGTCGGTGTAATAGGTGTGGAACACTATTTTTGGGTAGTTTCAATTGCATTTCTCGTATATGTGAAGTCAAAAATCTTTCTCTATTTTTAATGTCCATTTATATAACTCTGTCTGTAAATCACTTACTTGTGTCTTTTGCAGATCATTAAAGATTTAATTTGGGTTCTTTATGTTTGATTTTTAAGAGCTCTTTATATATGAAAGACATCAACTGCTTATCTGTGACCTAGCTTGCAAATATTTCCTTTCAGTTTCTCTTTTGACTTCACTCTGAAATTTGTTGCAGTATAATTTTTGTGCATTCAGATTTAACAGACTCTTTTATTATATTTTGAATTGCAGAATGGCTTTGCTCATACTTCAGTCATCCAGGAATCTATCCATGTTTTCTCCTAGTGTTTGTATGATTTTGTTATTTTTTACACTTATATTTCTTATTTTAGATTTAAATCTGGTATGAAAACCATCTTAGTTCTATGGCAGAGAAAAACTCTGAGACTCAAATTTAAGGGATTTTTCTGAGTTTGCATGGATAAGTAAGAGAAACATTTGTTTAATATCTACTATGAACCAGCCACTAGAAAGCATTTTATATTTATTATCTCATTAAAAACACCTTATATTTATTACCTCTCCTCATCTTTACCCCCAAACTCCTCAAAGTAGATTGTGTTCCTGTTCTACATATGAACAACTGAGGTTTGGAGACATGAGCTGATGTGTCCAAGTTCACATGACAGCAAAGTAAAGAAAAACACAAAGGTAAGTTGTGTGTTCCTGCTGCCATTTAGAAAAGCTTTATATAAACTGCCATGAAAGATCCAAAGTTGCACCCTATTGGCCCTTATATAGTCACATGGTCACAATTTGCTGCAAGGGACATTGGGAATTGTAGTCCTTATTCTGGGCAATGATATATCTAACTAAATTCATGGATACTGTTACTATGGAAATAGGAGAGCACAGATTTTGAAGAATGAGCAGAGGTGGAATAGTGAGGCCTAGGGGAGGTTATGCAGTTCCCAAAATGATACCTTTGGTCAAAAACAAGTGATAGCTCCTCGAAAAATCAGTGTTTATCACACTTACAGTTCAGATGCCAATTTCCTTGAAGTTTATCTCCATATAGCAGGTCTGTTTATTCACCTCAACATCAGAATAAGGGTGAGCATGCCCAAATCCTGCTTCCAGATCTTCTCTGAGCATACCCATCTCTTCAACTCTGGAGTGAACCCTTCACCTCCTTCTGACATGAGTTCTGTAGGTCCTGATTCATAGCTAAAGAATACAAATCTGTCCATCTCCCAAGGTCAAAAACCAAAGAATGGCCTCCTTCCTAAATAAGAGAGATAAATAGAGTGACTTAGTAAAAAGGACCCAG